TGAGACTTAATTTGGACAAAGTCAAGAGAGAAAAAGATGAATCCAACACATTCCTAACAAGCCAGAGGTGTAGCTATAACCTTTAATTCATACATCTGATCGTTGCTCATCGCTCGGTGGCTTTCCTCTCCTCCTCATGACTCAGTGAACAAAAGTTCTCATTCATTAGACATGAGATCAGCCATCTTTTTTTAATTCAGGCAGCCAGGTGTTGTTTATTTCAACATGACTGGAAAATGTATGACTGTCCTTCAATGGAGGGATGGAGTGAGTGATGGAGGAGGTGGAGAGATCTGAAAGGAGAAGAAAAAGCATGAATATTGAATAGAACATAAAAAGAACAAAGAGCACGTAGTGTAGCGCAACAGCCAGGAAATGTACACAGACGTATTAGTACAGTACGGTTGGTTTTCAGTTGTTTACCTGTTGAACCAGGGTCGTCAGCGCAGCTGGGGTTGGTCTCATTATTCATCTGACTGGGATGAGGAGCCAGTTGGACAGCTCACCAGTCTATTTACTCACACTCATACCTACAATGTGAAAATAGATTCAGACGACAGTCAACCTAATCTTACATATTTTTGGACTGTGAGGAGGAAACTAAAACAGAACACACACAGGGAGGTCCTTCAACATTTACACGGAGCTACACGTCCAATCAGTCCTGCTGCCATTTACACTATTTTCTTTCATACAAACTGTTTCCTCCGTCTCTTGGCCTCAAATGCTCCTGAATGCTACCTTGAATGCTCCTTCATGCTGCAGATGCTGTCTGGACAACAATTCCATTACCAAGCAGAGCAGAGAATATAAAAACTGCAGAGAAACACTGTGACTCACCAGACTGAAATGTAAACTTACTGCATATAATCCTGTGTGTTTCTGACATGTGGGAGGAAAGAAAAGTATCTATTAGTTACCACCTGAGCCTCAATCAGTGACCTTGTGCAGTAAGGACAGTTATGAATATACAATAATAATAATTCATAATACAAAAAAAATGTTTCCTTACGTTGTTCCTGATTCCATAAGAGCAAACGTTGCAGCTCACAAAATGTAGCAAACCCTCTTAAATAACAAATAATGAAGAATGAATAATGATTTTCCAATTGGTTTGCTGCTACATGTTGTCCATCTGAACAATGGATCCATTTATGTCTGTTGCCAGAAGTTTGAGTGCAACAAATCAAATGCCATCTTATAAACACGAGTCATTGGTTAGAAGAAATGAGGGGAAGAAGCATATGATGAAAAAAGATGCTAATTCCGCTAACTCTTCTTTCTCAGATTGGTGGGAGGCCACACCTTTGAATGGATGTAGCCACGGACTCTTCCTACTTAGTTTCATTTCAAATGGTTATGTTCATTGATAATAATAAATGGTGCAGAAAGCTAAAATATGCAAAAATAAATAAATAAAGCAGAAAGGGTTTGTGCCTTCAAATCCCCTGGCAGCTGATCTGCAATTATAATAAACTCCAAAATGTTCCAGAAAGGCCAAGTGCAGAGTAAAGAGGTGGGAGACCCTCTTTAGCATCTATAACCTTCTGGATGTAAAGAATTAATCTTGGAGATTTTCCTGAGGTCAACTGTCGGTACGTCTGCCCTGACAGTTGTCAGGCTCCTGCAGCCACTTCACCACTTACAGGTGAGTACCAGCCGGCAGCAGAGGCTGGCGCTATAACTGCCAGACAAATTTAAGCCAAGTATAGTGGAAGGAAAGTAGACCCTGCCTTAGCCCTGAGGCATCAGTCCTAACACGGACATCAGCCAAGCTCTTCCTGGCAGCGAAAATCCTCGGCTCTGCTCCGGTGTCAAGAAGCTTGACCGCACGGTGGACGGGGCTTTGCCACGGCTCATCAGACAAGAGATGAGTGAAGGCTGAGGAACGGTTCACACAAGACCACGTCAGAGAGAAAGAGAGAGAGAGGGAGAGAGTCGGCCATCCGTGTCTCCACTTGGCTGCTAATGATCATCCTGAAAACTGTTAGAATAACACATACGTTATCACCATGGTCATTTAGCGTCAAGAGAAGTTATTGTTCAAAGTGCATCTATTCTTTTCAATACTTCAATGGTCATTTTGTATTTATTTTTATTTATTTATTTTCTAGTTTCTGACTATTCTTGGTGAAATGTTGAGACTTTTTTTCTCCTTTTGTTTGCCAACAAAAGATAAAAGGCATTAGACCTTGTTAGACCACTGCATTATTATTATTATAAGTGCATATAAGTGTGCATTATTATATTTTTTTAAATGCTGTTATGGTGATAGGTTTGACTCAGCCACTGCGGGTTGACAATGGAATCTGCAGGCTATTCACAATTTTGTGTTTAAGTCCTTGGCTAAAAATGGTCAAATGTATGTATTTTGATGACATCCATTCATCCACGTCATATCAATGCATTTTTTATTATTAAATCAAACCCTGATTGAATGTATTTGAATTTTCAGAAACACACACAAAAAAGGCAGTAGGAATTGACTTCTCCCAATGTGAAAAATTCAGTTGAGGGTCTGAGACCATTGTCACACGGGGATCGTCTAGCCTGAGGAAAAGACAAAACCAAAAGACATTAAATTATTAAAATGTGTTGTATAAGGCTACTCTATGACATGGTCATACAGCAAGAAATAGGTCAATGCAATGCATACATTTGCACAAAAACAACTCACTATGTATATAATCAAGATAGCCGCAAAAATAGCGGTAACTGTCAGAATGAACTTTCAGAAAGTGCCTCCTCTATTCATCCCTCACAATTTGCTCCATACTCTGAATGGAAATAAATATAATCTAACAATTCAACTGCATGTGTATTAGTGAAGGAGAGAGTGGAGAGCCATAAAGGTTTTAACTGTAAAGGGACTCAGTATTTCATTCACTGATTTTCTCATCTAAATAAAATAAAAGTGAATAAGAAGATGATCTGTAATGTGTGACAAATGGACAAAGCCAAACAAGAAACCATTACATAAAGTGATGGCCATTTTTCAATACTTTTCTCTGAGGTCTATGGATTTAGTCAAATCTTAACAGTGACATCTGCTGGACAGTTGAGGTATTGTATGTGCCTGATGCGGTAAACAACTATGCAAGTAGATTGAAAATATATATATTAGTAATTGAATGGATTATTTTCGTTTTTAATGCACATGTAGGCATATAAGTGCTTTCGTTTTAAGACAGTTAAGTAGAGTTGGCTCCTTAACAGCTGACCTTTACTCCATCTTTGCAGCTCCTTCTTTGCTTCTGCACCAAATCCTGTTTCATGTTTCCTGTTTTGATCCTGGTGGAGTATCATCTCAGCTTTTTTCTCACATTGTCTGTTTGTTTGTAATAGCACAATTTCTACTCTCAAGTAGCATAGTAGCACTGATTCGTGCTCAGCTGAGGTGTATGTAAAGAGCACAGTTGCCTCAGGAGAGCTCTGTCTTCTGCAGCTTCACACTGAAAGGGTGCAGTTAAGGTGGAGGATAAACATTGCAGATACTGACACCAACGTTGGCCTGATGATCTGCAGAAAAGCGTTTGCCTAAAGCAGAGTGAAGTGCGGCTGGTAAGAGATAGTCATCCAATCCCAAATGGACAGAAATTGGTCTTTGATTGTGGCAGCTGTGTGTTCACAGTGCAGAGAGGGACACGGAGAAGTCAAATAATAATAATGTGGTCCAGAGATAGGATACAGTGTGGATACAGTTGTACATCCCCATGTTTGCCAACGAAAAAAAAAAAAAAGAAAACAGCACACAAGCTCAGCAAATCCTTCATTTGATAAAGGTTAATAAAATAGTTGGTCCTCAACCTTTTGGTCCGGCCAAATCCCAGGACGCATAAAGTTACTGTATTGATTGTTTGAAATGTCACACCAAGTGCTGTATGAGAAGACAAGAGGGTCAGTAAGCACATTTATCTGCTGCACCTGGCTCAAATTGTATTACAGCAAGGGAAAAGGTCAGTGATTTTTGACCAGAAAATTGTATTTTGGTAAAAAGTAAATACAATTCCTTGCTGGGGCGTTTGTACCTGCTGAGGTGTAACGTTATATGGAATTTTACTGATAGTTAGTTTGACATGAAAGTAGTTTTAAAGAGTTAATTTTAATAAATTAAATAAACACTCAAATATGCATGTGTGACTGAAGTCTTTATAGTGAATTATATTACCACGTTGACTTAAATCCACAGTCCAATAATGTTTAGGCACAGAAGTCGGAAATTGCTGCCGTTTGAAGAGGAAAAAATCCAAATATTAGTTTCAATAAAGCTGCTACAATGATTAAATCAGTTCCTTTATAATGAATGGCTGAGCACAGAATGGGAGCAGGCCTGGAATGAATTTCTAAAAGGAGTTATTCATTTGATATTCTCCTCTCAACTGCTGGTATTCGTTAAATAAGTGTAGGGCTCTGAATCTACAAACCAGACATTTAGGGTAAAATCACTGCAATCAAAAACTATAAACAGAATTACATATATTTTCTTTGAAAATGAAAATATTCAACTTTGAGGGGGCAGCCTGTGGCCTAGTGGTAAAACACTGGGTGTGGTAGGTTAGTTCACAGGTTCGAATCACATCTTGGCTGGCAACGTATCACTGTACCCTGAGAATGGGTTGATGGGTTAAATAAAGAGGATACTTTTGGTTGTGTCTATATACACATATAGACATATATATATATGTGTGTGTGTATTTACAATGGTAAATAAGGTGGTTCTTCATCCTTTGATTTTCCTCATCATTTTGCTCTAGGGATTTAAACATGGGCAGATCTAGACTGCAGGCAGGACAGCCAAGGTCACAGTTCACATTACAGCTGCCATCACAGTTGCACAGTGGTTTCTAAAGTAGATTGACTGCAGCTACTTACTGATGTGATCAATGGATCGTTGAACCAATTGAGATAAGTACCAGTGACATCTGCAGGTGAGGGGGCAGCTCAACATCCAACTCAACAAAACATCAGTTCTATTTATATCTTACAGAAAAGGTGTTAAAAAAAAACAAATGCTCCTTGTATTTCATCAACAGTCTACTTTACAGCTTTAATGTTTTAAAATTAAGATGGAAAGTTGGAAAAAGGGAGAAAACAGCTTCAAGTAAAAACAAAAGTTTATTGTTTTTCTCAGATTCACCTCAGACAACAGCGACAACTTAAATTCCGTCCGCAAACATGTAACACTGTGGTCATATACTGCTCCAATGGAGACATTAAACAAAGATCTATGTAAATACTCACAGAGGACACGAGTAAACATGCAGATGGGCTTTAATGCCGAGGAAACACAAAGAAGAATTGAACTGTCTTGCACATTTGGTGGTCTGAACCGGTGGTTGAATCAATAAGAGCTACTTTTTCAACACTCCCAATGCCATTATTGTTCACACAATGTTATGATTTCAGCGCTCCTCAAGCTGCTGGAATAGAAAATTGTTACCACCGTACAGACCAAAAAAAGAAGGCTGCACAATGAAATTGCAAACGTATTGAACAAAGCATCAGTATGGCAAGATTTAAAGATGTGCAAAAACATGGTCATTAGTTGAGTTTTCCTCTATTCCCAGCAAACCCTCACTACGTGAACAAACTTCTTTTAAAAGTTGTCTTTAATTTTTTATAAAGTAGACACCTGAAAAGACATCAACAGCTACTTTGGCTCTTTTATTTCCTGAATTGAACAAGGGGGAAAATAGAGAGATAAAAATTCTCAATTTATAAAATATAATATATCTATAATTCTAGTCTTTCTTTTAGGAAAAAAACAGGGACATTTTAGGACTCTGTTGGTGTGTGTGTGTGTGTGCGCGCATATTCAAAGTGCTATATCCTATAAAGATGGAAAAGAGAGGAACATTAGAAAATGATTTGTGGCTTTTCTCCCTCTGCTGTACCGCCCCTCACGGCTCAAAGTGCCTCAAAGAACTAGCAGGGTTCATTAGTCCTGGGTTTCCTCTGCACTGACTCCCAGCTTATTGCTATCCATCTTAAACAAGTCCATATCGGTCGATACAACATGAAGCAGTATTGCACTTGCTATTAGAAATGATAAAAAACAACTCGGGGAAAAAACTCAGATCACTTTTTCACACTTCAAATAACAAAAAAAACAAAACGACTCTGATTCTTGTCTGGTTGTTTTTCTTTTAAGGCTGCTATACTTGACTTGAGAAATATTTATAGGTTAAGGGGTTTCAGTCATGTTTGCAATGCACACTGACGACACTGACTTTTCAATGGAATTGCAGCCATTTGAAATCCTAAAATACTTCTCAGTTACCAATGCGGGGTTGAGAATTTGTTTTCCAGTGCAGCTTAAAAATAAGAAACCAGTTTTCATGGGGTTATTTTTAGTGGTGAGGCTCCAGTGCCTCTAAATGGTCAGGGATTGGCAGACCAGTGAGTATTGTCAGACATTTATTCCACACATTGAAGACGGGACACACAGGTTGGACAAAGGACACGTGGAATGTGTGCAGGTGTTGGGAGCCCACAGAGTCGTAAAAGGTCAGGTACCCGGCGTCGTAGTCCAGCAGGACGCCGACTCTTCTCAGATGGGGTGAGGGGTCCATGGCCAGCTCCTTGCTGTTGTGGCGCACCACCCAAGTGTTGTTGCAGCGGCAGAAGACCCAGGAGGCCGAGTCTTTCCCGATCCAGTCGTGCTTTGGAGCAGATTTATAGGCTATGCCCAAAGCGTACCTGAGGAGAAGAAGCAGGTTTTGTAAATAACAAGAAAAAAACCTACTCTCAATCTTGGACCCAAAAGGCGGACTCACCACGTGCTTCCTCCAATCAGAGCCTCCCAGTAGTGGCGCCCGCTGTCGATGTAGACATTCCCGACGACGCCGTAGCTGCTCTGGCTGGAGAACCGCTCCTGGCTGTGGCCTTTCTTGGATGTGGTTTCGTCTCGCTCCACTGTCAGGTTATCGTGGGACACCCTCAGCTTCTTGTGAGCGGATTTCGGGTCTAGTTTAAAAGGTTGGCCTGAAAAAAGAGAAGTGAAAAAAAACAGCTAAATAAATGTTGTTTTAAAGCCATTGGTCCGAGCATATGGCTAAAGACATAAATAAAACCGCAAAAAACAATTTCTACCCATGTATCGGTCTGTGAAGGTCGAGTCTGTAAGTACTTTTCACTCTCTGTCATATAAGTCACTTACTGTTGGTCTTCAGAGTCCCTGGTTCACTGCTCCTGCTCCCTGCTTGGTTAATGGCCTTGACAACAAAGATATACTTGGTGCCGCTCTGCAGGCCGTGTACTGTGTAGTGGTTCTGCTTGATGTTGGGGACAATCATCCAGCTCTCTAGTGAGTTACAGAGACCTGGGGATCCAGATAAGGGAGAAAATACACTCACATTTATATTGTGTTCCCCTCAGTGTTCCTAAAACTGCAGGATTTGTGTGCACACGTGTATCCTTAGGGAAATTCCTAATAGGAATTAATGTTTCAGCTGTGAGAAGGTACAGTGCATTAAACAGATGGTTGGTGAAAGGGTGGAGAGAAATGGACGCACATGAAAAAGGCTCATGGGAAATGAGCAAATATAAATAATTATGATAGATCATTTTTAGTATTATAAAAAAGCTTTAGCCTTAATTAATACACAATGAATGTTTTATTCTACCCCAAATCAATCATGGTGTATAAAAAAACTTAATATAATCAGTGAACAAAAATTAACATTACGCTTCTAGTTATTTTCACTTTAGCTTGAAGTAAAAAAAAAAAAAAATAATGTGGTGGATAAATTACAATAAAACAATAAAAAACCCACATGAATGCACAAAAGCTATTATATTATGTCAATTTCATTTTTATATTCACGTCAGCTTTTTGATCCTCCTTTGTCCTATTTATTTTATCAAAACCTTGAGTGACATATTTGAAATGAAGTTTTAAAAAAATCACAGGGGTCACGTTAGTTTAATAGCTGTCAAATGTCAGCTTGCCTTGAGCTGTGATGACAAGAACAGGAAAAAAGCAGGAAAAATATAATTTCAGAATGACAATATTCTGATGGAATAAAAAATTTTTTTTTTTTAACTTCCCAGTTTAATGTGTGTTTCTATGGTTGTTCCTGATCAACAAGACACTTGTGTGACTAAAAAACTCAGATTTTGTGCATTGTAATCTCTATTTTCTTTAATTTGTGTTTGGAGTCTCTGCTGCACTGTTGTTCAGTCTTTGCCAACTACAGTCATTTCACCACATTAAAGGCTGTTAGCAGTGCACAAGCCGCGGGGTTCCACTTTCACTTCACTGCAGTGCCAGCCTTTATATAAGCACTCTAACTCTCTGCTAGTTGGGGGGGTAATGGCTGCAATTGAGTTTTTTTAAAGTAGACCTGAGGTCTGGTGGTTTCTGCAGATGTTAACATTAAGGCAGGGCCTTTTCATAATATATATTACTACATAACTGTAGACTTTTTACATGTTGTGAAGCAAGAACTAAAATTGATGGGGGACTTTATCTTCAATCATTTTACCAGAATTGTATTTTTGTAAATCTTTTTAAGCAAACTATAAATACAGGAGTCTGCATGGAGACGTGTCTTGTTATACCTGTCAGTGTCATTAAGTCGAAGTCGAAAAACACAAAATGACAACGGCTGCATTTTGCTATAGTACAAGCTGGTGCTAGGCAAGCATGGCTAATTTGTGAGCAGCAGAGAGAAAAGAAGCATGAAAATGCTCTGACATCTGGCTGCATTTGAAAAAAAAGATTGCAGCAACAACACAAACATTTATCAACAAACAGTAGTTCAATACACTTCCACCAGTTCCTTACTGAGGTCAATAAATTTTATCTGTCAGTCCATCTGAACGACCTTCTGTCTGCGTGGCTGGCTGTCTGTCTGTCAAAACAAATCATCACTGACACAAGATTTATTTATTTATTTTTAATTTTTTATACAAATGTAACTACTTGTGAGACTAAAAGAAAGACTAAAATATATTAAATTGAAGGTGTGTCTAACTCCAAAAAGACATTCCATAGTAATAATTTCATAATAAGTGAAATCTTGGAAAAACTGCTGTGACTTTTGCTCACTAGGTAAGGCTGATGTCTTACAACCACAGGGTTGTGGGAGTGATTCCAGCCTAAGTGCTCTAAGTGGTCATCAGGACGGGAAAAGTGCTATTTAAGGACAGACCACTTAGCGTACTTCACTCACTGTAGCATCTGCTCTAAAGAGTATTTTAGGAAGTGACCATTCATTGAGTTCATGTTCTGTAATTTACTCACTGGTGATGTTGGACTGTCCGGTGAAGATAGCGTACTGAAGCTCGTAGGAAACCACGGTGAATTCGTCATCGGACGTCCAGTGGACGGAAATGGTGTCGTACGAAGCGGTGCACAACTCCTCCCGTATGCTGGGAGCACTTGGAGCTGCATGAAGGAAACCATAACTCAAATTTGAAGGTCACGACAGTCTGTTCCCTATAGGTGGAGCTACAGCTGATTATCTCATTTAAATGATGACATCAGGGAAAGGTTTATAATCACACAACCAGATCCAGACTTGGCTTCTTACGCCTGTTAAATGATTTATTGTGCTGAGATTTGTATTTTGATGTAATCCAAGAGGCACAGTGACTAAAGAGAATAAATATGATCCAGTCGATTTTAAAGGGGTTTTACAGGGCACCCAATGCTTTTGTTTTTTGTTGGCAGCATTTTCATAATTCATGACAGCTCATGAAGTAGTCCTAATTATATTTATATATAAAATATAAATCTAAGTCAGTTTACTTTATTGGTTAAAATTATGGGCTACTCCTTTAAATCAAAGAATAAATATTCAAGTGCATTAAATTAAAGTGATGGGATATATTTTATTCAGGAATCAGTTCCTGTGGTTTATGTGTCAGGAAGGAATTTTGCACTGACTCTACAAACTGTAGATACATTTACAAATTTGAGTTGTTAAGTTAAGGAATTACAACTTAAATGGTTTGAAATATTCAAGTTAAAGACAAAGCCATTCACCAGTGAGGTAGTCCAGACTCTCCAGCAACTTCTTCTCTCTGGTGAAGTCCAGGGCGAAGGAGTCAAAAGTGTCTGTCAGGTGAATCTCAGGGATCAGAACTTGGGTGGATGCAGTTGCCATGGAAACCCTGGACCATGCAAAGCAGAACAGACTTCTTCAGAAAAAAACTGAAAAAAACCTCTCTAACACAGCACTTTAATTTAATTTACGTTATCCTCTTCGTGTCATCTGCATGGCTGAAATGTTTTCTGACCTCTCGTTAATGTTCTTGGCTGTCTGCAGGAATCGAGCGTGATCACTTTCCTTCAGAGTCTGGTCAGCCTGAGTTATAAGGGCTGAGGATCTCTCAATGCACTGTTTGCAGTTGGAAATCTGCTGAGCCAGCTTTCGAACCCTTTGTGTCTGGAAAAGAAAAAGTATTTGGATAAATTCATAAAAGTCGGAGGAAGTCAAATGTGAATTCATTAATCTGCATCAAGGATGCACAAACAAGGAGGAAACAGGTCATCCATTTGTTCTAGTAATATTTCTTCTTTATAGAAAAAAAATGATAAAAAATATTATGAGACGTTGTAAAATTAAAAAAATCTATCAACAGCTGGACCTATCCCTGACCCTTCCAAACCTGAACTTTATTTCTACTTGTCTGCCCACCAGACTCACTGTCCAACAGTGTGAGCGGAGATTTTGAGAGACAGATTGAGGGCAGAAGTCTGGATTGAGGTCAGGAGACATTTCTTCATCAGTTTGGCTCCAGTATAACCTCAGAAAGTCTAATCTCAGCTTAGATAGGATGAAATCAAAAGGTCACAACAAAAGGCAGAAGAACCAGCGCTGCTTGGCTTCAGTGACAAAGTAAAAAAAAAAACCTTTTCATTGTTATTGATTAAGAGCCAACAGTTTAGTAACAAGCAATTTGCAAAAATGTTGATATCTTAAAAACTGTGAAAATGTCTGCGTTCCAAGACTCATTAGATCATTTTTAAAACAAACTAAACACCGCACACCATGTGGGTTTAAGGAACAAAGGAACACACCCTGTCCTTATGTTGTGGGATCTACCGTGGGCCATTCACACTGCTCTTACCATCTGAAATCTGTTCATGAGTTTCTGAAGTTGTGAAAAAACGCATATTTTTAAATTTAGATCAAAAGAACAATATTATGTTGTAATTGTTAATAAATTGGGTCATAAATGAGTCAAAGCTGTGGCTTTTCTTTAATTACAGCCCATATACATAGATATAAGTGTGTAAATCACAAAAAATAAAAGGAAATGTCATTTGAACATAACGACCAACATTTTTTTTGTATATTTTGACACCTGTTTTTATTTGTACGAAATGATGGATTTATTAACACAGACGTGTGAAAAAAACTCAAATTCTACCAAAAATATGCAATAGCTAAGTACATTTTCGGTCATGGAGTTGGTGGAGTTTTGTCTTCAGATCTTGGTGGTGGTGGTAGAAAATTAGGTTGCTTTCAAATCTTTGGTTTGTCATTGTCTTTTATCCATTATCCATTATTTCCACTTTCCTCCTAATAATAATCATAATCCATTGGACAATAGGACAGATAAGACTTTAATCATCCCACACCAGGGAACTTCAGTACAGGTTTTAGTTCCGTCCGTCAGCCTGTAGGTCGTAGACTTATTTACTGTCCTGCACATAGTGAGGCTGCTCTGATTGGAAGTTAAAGCCCCCACTGGATGAGCTGCTGTTTTAAGCTCCTGCGGTGCATGCAAAATACTTATGACAGCAACGGTAAGAGAACGAATGATGGAATTATTGGATATGCAATCTATGTCATTGTGTAAAACTGTGTTAAAACGGATCAGATCATTGTTCACAATACATCCACATATATATACATTTCTAATTGAGGTAATATGAAACACACATGCAGAATGTATAAGGATGTCTCCAATATCACTGCAGTTTACCTTTCCCTCCTTAATCTTGCTGCCTATAATCTGCCTCCTCTGCTGGATGATGTCAATCAAGACGTCGCACTCCTCCATCAGTTTGCTCTCCTGGTGCGAGGCGTTCACCTAGGAAACGATGCAGCACCAGCATTACATCTATTCAGCTTCAGTAATGAAAAATCACACCATACTTTCCAGAGAGTGTACATTGCTACAGTCACAGGTAAAGCAAATCTATTTTAAATTACTGCCCATGTAAATGTAAATAAAACTACATGTGCATGTGGGACCGGTAGAAAAAAATAACAGAAATCAAAGAGACTGAGATACTGAGGATAGCTGGGTTGAGGCTATTAAGCATTGCCAGGAAAAAAAAATGGAAGTCCAGCTCTGTTTTCTCTCAGCAGGCTATAAAGAGATGTTCAGAAGCAATTACCATACTGTGGGTGCTAATGCAATCTGTAATATCTAATTGTGGTCATTTCCTTCTTGGTTTTCACCAAAATCAGAGTTTTAAATAGACAAGGTTTTGACAGTGTTAAGATCAGATACATTAACTAGCACATTTACTGATCAAAGATTTAAAAATGCATCAACCTAAACGTTTGGAGGAGCGTTAAAAGAAAAACTATGAAACCTTGACTCTACTTCGGATCTCATTTTTTGTGTTATTCACCTCATGTTTTAGTAAAATTTTACTCAATATTCCCTCCATGTAAACCTGCAGTAGGTGAATAATCTGATTAGAAATACTGAGACAGATGTGTCATCTCCTGCGTGAACCCTTTTCTTCCTCATTTTTTATCCCTGTGAGATCAATTCCTCTGCGACAGGCACGTAAATGTCACACAGCTTCACTCACCGTGAAGACGCTCTTATTTTTTTAATCAACACTTTTTTTTTTATTTTTTTAACATGAACTGACTCCAGCGTGCCACCGCTGTGCACTTCGCATGCATCTCTAAAAGCACCAGAGTGTGTTGTCACATGTTACTGTTTGTCAGCATGTGTGAATGAAGCAGGGATGAAAAAAATAGGTCAACTGGGTTTGGAATGCATTAATGTGTATCATTAAATTGTAATGTGTTTTTTTTGTTTTGTTTTGTTTTTGTAAAAAAAAATCAACCCCTCTGTTGTTGTTTTATTGGAATATTTTTCATCATTGAAATTTCTTACTAGGTCATGGGGAAAAAGTTTGAAGATGATAACTAAATATAGTCAAAGGAAAGAATAAATAACAGCAAGTAAATCAAGTAAATAAACTTTGCCTTTTGAAGAAAGGAAGTAAAAGAACTGTTGATATTTAAAAAAAATGTATAAATGCAATTCTTAATATTTTTAAGTCTCTTCATTTCAATGTTAGAAACAAAATCAAATGCAATTTTAGGTAAAAATCCTGTTGTTTTACCACATTTATACCGTATTGCAAATCTATTTATACCATGGAAAAAGTAAATTACATTAAAATAAAGTGCCGCAAAATAGAGATATTTTTTTTAGACTTTACTATCTTGAATAACAGGCATTCTTTAGGAGCATGCTGTATGTTATCAGAATTAGTATTATCAGAGGAGAACATCAGTGACTCACCTCTACTTGTTGACAAGTCTGGATCAGCTTTCCCATGAGTGACTCCAGCTCGTTGTTTTTCTTGATTAAATTGCTCAGGTTGGAGTCCAGCGCTTGCTGTAGCAGGCAAACACACAAGAAGAAGAAAATTTGTATCTATAAAAAAAACAAACTTTTTAAAAAGAAAACCCACAGGAGAGGTTAGAGATATTTCAGGGGTGAAAAAAAATCCTAAAAGTTAGCATCATTTTTCCTAAATCCTCTGCCTGAACCAAACAAAATCCCCACATCCTTAGTCTCAGTCCTAAAAAGATGCGTTCAGCCCCGACGTACCTCTGAACGAGGATGAGCCCTCTCATCCCTGTACTGCCTCCTCATCCTGTCCTGCCTAAACCTCTGACAGAGGAGCCTGCAGGAGTAGAGGACGTGACTGGGACAGCCGCTCTGCTGAGCATCAAGCCATGCGCAAACCAGACCGAGCAGCAAATTAGACAGCAAAAGCTTCCCCCTCTTACAAGAGCATGCAACAGCGCTCCGGGCTAACGAACCGGTACACAGGTGACAGCATGTCAGCTGTGTCCCTTTATGCTCCTCCTATTTATTTCCTGTCATTTCCATTTTTTTCTCTTTACCATCCACCCCGGCACAAGCTGTCTCCTTTTACCACTAAGACCGTTGTGTTATTGCCAATCAGAGCATGCTTAAGCTGCTCTGGAGGCATGTCACCACTGGCCCACTCTGAACTGTTTTGCAGATCATCCTAAGCCTAGATTTGTTGCATGTTGACATTAGATTCAGATTCAGATGAAGGAGCTGCCTATATTGGTGAAGTGAGAGGTCAGTAAAAGGTTAAAGAGTTAAATATTCCAAATACGAAACGTTCCATTTGGTTAAACCTCCCTCCCTGGGTTTAGAGTGCTAAGTTAAATTCTACTAACTTTAACTTTAAAGTTAAAACAGTCAGGGAATGTTGTGTAAATTACAGAAGTTAACCCTGAGGGAGATCAGAATATGGTACATGAGTAAACACAGAGAAGGACTGTGGGATCTGCGTGTTTGCAGCAGTTGCACCGGTTGGGAGGGGGGGGCTTAATGGATGGCCTTAATACAGCAATGACACATAAAAAGCTCATGTAGAAGAATGTGATGCTGCATCGTATTATATTATCATCCACGGAGATAAAAATAAAAACTAAAGCTCTTAAAGGATAATGAGGTCAGGAATAATAACAGCCAGTCGTCGTGTGCATCACGTGGATTAAAAACACTGGGAATGTGAGGCAAAGAAAACAGAAAACATCCACAGTTGTCTTTACAGACCGAACTAAGAACTGCACCATCTGTTGTTCTTGTTCTGCACGGTACACCAACACAAGTGCTGTCACCTTGGGTTTCACGTGTGTCGATGGTCAAAGATGAACACGCTGGTAGTTTTGTTTTTGTTTTGTTTTTTCTGGAAGGATGTGTGATGTTTGAAGACAAAGTGTTAAACTAAAACTCAGACACAGTTGAGTTTACACTTCAACAGCTTTGTAAAACTGGTTTGAACCGATAAGTACTTTCAAGCCAATGCTGTTGCTTCTGCTTTGGTGAACTTATTCTTGTCTTAGCTGTCATGCTACAATAATGTCAAATGGGGCATTGAGACTGCACGCAGCCCTGTCAGAAATATTTATTCTTTTATAATTTTTTGAACAATAATACCTCCGCACAAAGCCTTACACAGGATGTCTTCCATCCTCTGGTGGCTAAGACGACCCTAAATCATGCACATTTTATGGTTCCTAACCTGGATGGTTTTTAAATCATTTTATGTAGACTACAATCTTCATTGACCCCCAAAGACCAAATCACTTGTTGGTCCTTCCTAGTCTGTTAGGTACACATGTGATGCATGCATGCCTTCTATTGATAAAGTGCACAAAACTATCTCTACTACGTTGCATGATAAATAATGGTTCAAGTGACTTGTCTTTTTTTTCTTTTCTTTTTTTCAAGATTCAAGAAGCGCTATTTGTCACATGACGTGGACACTTTGTTTGACTTTGTTTGGATCTAACTCCATCATTAATATAACTTTATCATATTTACTGTTGAGCTCCATTTTTTGCATACACACAAAAAAAATATGGAAACTGATCTCACTGCAGGCAACTAAAACCTGCATTGTTTTGGATTTGGTTTAGTTGCTAAACATTATGAAAAAGGACATTTATTTTACCCGGCAGATTATTTATTCTAAGACATTGTTTTTCCTTCTTACACATAAAACAAGGCTCCTTTCTCCAACCATCTGCTCTTAATCAGGGCAGCAGACTGATCCTCTTACAGCATCTCCTTATTTCACCCAACAAGAATCTGCTTCATGGAACTAAGTGTAGCATCAAATTGCAGTAGTTTAGCCCAATAATCACATGTAAAACTCTGCTACGCTATGAACACGAGGTTGAACCATATCTTTGAGGGATGATGAAGAGTCAGGAATAAATGGAAACAGAAAAACATACAAAAGCACAGTAGCTGAACACACAGGTAGCTGTGTGAGGGGAAGAGAAAAGTTTTGAATGTCAGAAAGTTATGAAAAGTACAGAAAGAACAACAGTGGCCAGAATCCCTATTTGTTTGTTTATTGTCCGTGTCCACCCACAGTGTTACAGTGTTTACATCTTATTTAGGAGTCATCCTTGGATCATTCCACATCTGTGGGAGGGCATGGATGGTATAGTCTTCTCTGTAGATTAGATTGTATCGCTGTGTTTGTGTAGGCAGTAACTCCAAAACACAGTCAAGAAAAGAGAAACGGGGGAAGGAATCACGCAGCTGAGAGGAGTTAAAGGACGTGAGACAAAAGAACATGCAGTAAAATATAAGTATAAGAGAAAGTAAAAAGACAATGGTCTTGATTTTTTTTCTCTTTTTCATGTTCCTATTTCCCCTTGTAGGTGGTAACGAACTGGAGAGAGGTGAAGGAAGTCATTCAGGGTAAACAAAGACAACACGTATAATTTGCAATATTTTGCTACACTTTGAATGTACTAATTAGAGCATGAAGGGCTGCAGATGATATCTGTGCATGCGTAGTGTTGTCTCTCTCTGTTGTCTCTCTGTCTCTATCTATTAAATATGTCACTCGTGATTCACCTTTCTTTAGCATAATTTGCTCTGCAGTGATGTAAACATCTTTATTTTGCTGTCTGAAATTATTTTAGATTCTGAATATCTCCACTGACTATAAGAAATGCCAGTATATTTTTATAATATTTTAAAACTAGATCTGTTAATTATTCAATAACCGTATCATTATTAATTAGACTAAAGAAAGAAAAAAAATTAAATTTGTCAGTGTCACTAATTTACTACTAAACATTGTTGGGACAGATACCACTTTATAAAGTGTGGGCGCTGAATTACTTGCTTGCAAGTGCAGCTTGTCCTTAGTCACAGTTGTCTGATTGGACTCCTTGTCATGTACCTGACATGAGTAGGTGCCACTTGTTAATGTGTCTGTTGATATGGAAACCCAACATTTCAGCCATATTCAAGGTAATTTTATTTTTTTTACAAAAGTTTATAATACAGTGGTTTCCATTAATGGCGTAGCCTGCCAGTGATGTGGACAATTTCCCAGAAAGCCGAGTTAACTCCTCACAGACAACAGAGTGCAGTACCATGTTTTCAACACTCATTCACCTCCATAACATTTAGAGGGGCGCTGTTTTACACATCATAAAATATTCTTTTTAAAGTGAGAGAGGACTACATCACAGTGTTTTTGGTTAAATTCACTTTCCTTGTGCCTACTACATTTGACCATAAAAAATGTCAAATAAAAGCATATTGAACCATATTGAATTCTAAAAGTCTCCTAAAATTATCTGGGAAACACTGTAATATTAACATTTTAGATGTAAAATCTGATAAATAAAAAGCTGAAGTTGGGTTGACTTCAGTTTCTTTGATTGACACTGATAACAATAATGCCACTGTCGTCCTACTGGGCACTTTGTCATCACTTCTGTAATTCAGAATAAAGAATAAGTGGCTCCTCTTTGATGAGCTGCAGTAACAGTCTGACAAAGTCAGGAGAAATAAATCTTGGATTACACCGAACTTATGAACAGAGGATGTGGAGGCAAAAATACAACAGAAGGAAAATGGCTGAAGGACACCAAGATGATCACTGATCTAACCTGTGTGACGGCTGCTGCTGTTTTTTTACTGTGCACGTTGACACTGTATGCAGTATGTTGCTCTGACATTAAAGGGCAGATGATTCATGACAGAAAAAAGGATTGCTAGCCAACAACAACAACAACAACAACAACAACAACAACAACAAAAGGCGTGTGATTTGTTGGTAAAGTTAAAACACATAAACACAGCTACCATATTTCATCCTCAAGGTTCTTTCTCCTCCATCTCACAGCCAAGGACTTTAAAAGCTATTTCCAATTGCCTCCTCTGTCAATTTCCAGTGATGGGAGTAATTTTATCTCGGTAAAAGGATGGGTGTTCTCACAATAACCTCCGCGGCTCTTATCACACGCAAGCACCAACAGTGCCTCTGAAAAAAAGGCCACAATTTCAATCATCTGATATTCCTCCTCTCCCGCCTCCTAGTGTGAAGTCAGGGATATCTTAAATTCCAGCAAGCGGCACAGAAAAAAGTGACAGGCACAAAGTAGTCAGGGAAAAATGACAAAAGAAAGTTTAAGGAAACAGCATATGAACTGTTGATTTAACCGAAAAGTGATGTTTCCGTGCTTTCTCAGCCCCTTCTGCATTTCCGGGAAATCTTGAACAACATGTGTTTCTACCCTACAGGCTTTAACTGCGTGCTTTTTATTGTTAACATTAGGGGTGTTTCATAATCCTAATTTGACATGGCTGCAGTCGGAATATATTTGAAGTGTTTGGTCAAGCTGTAGGCCTTTGTGTAATAGGTGCAAAGATGTTGCTGTTACACATTGGATTGGGACTGATTAAGAAGTTCCAAGGCTAAACTGTGAAAAGTGAAATATAAAGTTGTGGGTTTTTTTAATATATAAACAAATGTCTTAATCCATTAAGGCTGCTAAATCACATGCACTCTAAAGTTCGTGCGTATTCTGTATGTGCCCCAACGCCTCAGGTTATTTTCAATTTTTAATTCATATTTACCGAGTTAAACAAAGTGTGAATCATCAGTTACTTTGATGTGTATGTAAAGCCGCACGTACATTCCTGTGGGATGCATCTTAATTGTAAAGCAGGGTGATAAGAAAAAGAGAGGTAGTAATTAGACAACGCAGCGACCTGCAACATCACGGCTAATTATTATCACCTGCTTAAGCAAAGAGAGAGAGAGAGAGAGAGAGACAAAGAGGGTGGCTCTTTACATAAGTAATGGACAATAGAGAAGTACAAGGACATAGTGACAACATAGAAATGTGTTAGTAGTATAGTTGAATGTGAAATAATATGACATAATATAATATAATATAATATAAGATTGTGGTGTTCCAGAACAAAGAAACTGAATGTAGGGTACATCAAATACACATACTTGCAACCTTACACAATATTTGTAACCTAACCAAAACCAGAAAGGAGAGTGAAACTTTTTTACAACCAGATTCTGGTACCTATCAGAACTACAGTTTCAAAAGAATCAGTAACAATACTTTAAATGTTTACTCACAGGCATGACAAACAAGTATGTCCAAGTACTTCATTATTCACATAATCTAAGACCACGTTCAATTACACACCTACGCCCAAAAGGCAATAAATGCTCATTAACCTTCGACCTTAATGACGACGCCACACTTCGTCACTAATGACACTCACCGTATTCATCCTGCCGGCACACGGCCATGCTGTTGTGATCAGGCTAATTGCTAATTATTCAGAGAAGATAAAACCTCTCCGTGCTATGATAAAATCTGTCTAGATAATTGACTGAGATACCTGGGTGAGGATATTAGGAAATATGATCCAGCAGAAAGGAACAGTTATTAAAATGGAAAAATAAAAAAATAAATTAAAATGAAAGATAAGGATTGGGCTGAATTATAGATGTTATCTGTCCACAAAATGAATTGGACTAGTGGACATTTTAAGAAAATTAAAAAAAAAATATTGTAAACTTACCCTGAGTTTCTCATAGCGGTCACTTAGTGCTGCCACCTGGTGGTCCCTGTGTCGGCCAACCAGCTTGCACAGCGAGCAGATCAGCTGATCATCACTGACACAGTACATGTTTACTTTCTCCTCCTCGTGCTCTAGGCACTGGAGGCCTCTGAGGTGGGAGTCAGGCATGGGCTCAATGAGCCGGTGGCCCGTGAACGGCTTCTTGTTGGGGTGTGTCGCCCGCAGGCATTCCTCACAATACGACACCTCACATGTCACACATGTCTTGACAGCATCTTGTGGTGGGTCCTGTTCACAGAACTGGCACTGAACCTGTTCGGCAGGCATAGTTGGGCTGGACATGGCAGCGCTTACAGGGATCAGTGCCAACCGGTTGCAGCCCTCCTCACTGGGAGAGTTGGGCCCACTGTAGGATGTAGACAGTTGTAGAGGGAGGCCAGCTGAAGATGAGGCCCGCTGAACCCTGTCGATGATGTTCTGCAAAGTCACGTTTCTCTTTAGCCCTTCAAGTCCACGCTCAGGACTCAGAGAGATGACATATCTACAGGTGGGACACTGGAACGCTGCAATTTTCTGAACAGACTCGCTGGCAGTGCAGTGGGAGGCTAGGATGCGGTGGGCACAGCCGAAGCACAGGCTGTGAGCACAGGGGAGCAGAAGCGGGTCTTCAAAGAGCTCCAGGCAGATTGGGCAGGTCAGCTCTGACTCCAGAGAGTCCATCCTGCTCAGAAAAGGCCAGGCAGGATGAGACGCAGCGTCGGCGAAATCCAGATGAGCCGTTTGGCCTTCTGCAGCACGGAAAGAGGAGACAGAGCGTGGAAAGAAGAGAAAGAGAGAAGAAGTGGAGGCAGAGAGAAGGGGGATTTGTTATTAAATGGTGTGAAACAGCTTAGTTCTCCCTGCTATTATTGGAAGGATTATATCTTATTGGTACGGAACACTGAGTGGAATAAGGAGTAGCAGAGTGTTAAGTGCTAGATTTACACCTGCATGAAGCCAGAAAATTGGGAGGTGGTGTTGATGTCTTTATTTTAAAATTCCCCACCAAAAATGTGTATCTTTGAAAGCAATGGCTGAATTGACTCCGGCAGCAAATCTCTGTAATATTGTACTAACAGAAGACTAGAAAAGTACAATAACTGTACGCTACATTAGCTACATTAACCAAAGAAAAAGTAATACAAAATAATCCACGAGCAACTTTTGAGTACTTTTTAGCAAAGTACTAGTAACTGGCCAAAAAAGAACAGTACAACAATTGAAATATCCTTAAAGAAAACTACTAGCGTAAACGTAAAATAACAGAACAAAGAAATTGACCAGTAAAATAGGGCTATCTATATGAAAACTACTAGATAGTCACTTGAAATCGACTGATAACGTGAATAGTGTTATAAAAGTAGTAGAAACTAATGGAAAGTAACATAATGTACTGTACAAGCAGAGGTGGATAGAGTAGCCAAAAATTGTACTCAAGTAAAAGTACTGTTCACTTCAGAATAATATTACTCAAGTAGAAGTAAAAAGCAGTACTTGTACTGAACAATTAGTGAAAAGTATAGAACAAGCCTAGAAAACTTCAAACATAGATTTTAAGTACTTTCTAGCAAAGTACTGGGAACTAACAAAAAAAAATCTCGTTACTACAAAGGTAAGAATAAGCTACTAGGAAACTACAAAAATCACTGAAAAGCACTAGAATAACCTACAAAAATATCAATGATTAACTGTTGAAATATGTACGATAGACCAACAACAAAAAATCTATTAAACTACAGAATACTAATTACTACACAAGTGTGAACGATACTCTAGGCTTATAGTATTCCAGTGACACGGACATTTAAAGGAAGATTAACCTGGTACTGTTAACCTACACTTATTATTTGTGTTTTTCTGGAGGACAGTATGAATGTAAGCAGACGGGGGAGGACAACTGAGTGGGACGATGATGATGGGATGTCTGAGTTGTTTTCTACTTTTTGCACATTACTGAAAATCACCAGAGAAAGACAAAACACTAATGTTACATCTACAACTGCCTCATGACGATAAAATAAAACAGCCCTTGCTTACAGCTGTATGACACTTTGATCAAATGGATTTGTTTTAACTGTGGCGGTTGTATTTTTTTTTTTTTTTTTCCTTTGGCAGTAATCAGAGTGGCAGTTGGCCCTGGTGTGGCAGTGGTGCAGCAGTGACAGCTGCACTCACAGCTGTAGTCACTGCCTTAATTAGCCACACGTCTATAAATCCCCCTGCAGAGGAGCTGGAGCCTCACTTCCATGTAACACTGCAGCCTGTCAGGGTATCACATTTGTCTGTTAATGGAGGACAGGACACACGTCGACTGTACGTGGAGGTGGGGTGGTTAAGGAAAAGTTAAAGTTAGTGCAGTTTAAAATGTGCAGTTTGACAAGTGAATTTCATTTTTAGGGGTGGGGAGTCATCAATTAAATTTAGTAATTCATGACTTTTTGTCATGGCGTTACTCAACCACGTGTAATAGTGAGAAAGTACTCGCTACACGTACGTGAAATGCAACAGAATATCATTTAATGCTAATCCAAAAACAGAACAAACTGAATGATAAATGAATATTTGCAACTATAGTAAAGGGCTAACGGCTAACTGGTAGCCGAGACGCGTACTTGAATAACATTCCTGCGGTCAAAGGTGTAATTTAAAATGCAAAACTGAGGTTTTACTGAGGTAGACATACAAAAGAAGATGCAATTAGATAACCCCCCAAATGCAAAATAAGTGGGCAGGGGTGTCAAGAACACGGAATAAGTGTCAGATATTTTCTGTTTTGTTTTTTTGTTTTTTTCTAGTGTTGTGGTTATTTTAGATTGTTTTTCATGAAATGTGAATGTGTCACACTATCACTGTGATTGTTACAAATCATTAGGCAAGGCCAGGATTCAAACTTGAGACTAACAACCATTTGCAAATATGTACATTCAAACCTATAGTCAAATCCAATCATCCCATTAACCTAATCCCCGATCTCCATGTTTTCTGGATTGTAGGAGGAAACCAGAGTACCGTGAGAAAACCAACAGACATTCGGAGAGAGAAAATATAAACACTATACTAAAAGACCATCAGTCACCACCAGGAACCCAGGAATTGAATCATAGCTCTACATGTTGTAAGGCCAAAGCTGTCCCCACTCTTCCACTGTATTGCCCAGGTAAAGTCAGTTTTTTTCTTACTTTTTTTTTTTAAGTAATGCATCAGTTGTAAAATAGAGATTGGGGCACAAAAGGAAGCGTTTTGTTGTTCATATTAGTAAATAAATGATGTAGATGATAGCAATAAGTTGCAGGAAACCTAAAGCAGATGCCACTGGGTGGTGTCAGAAGAAAACAAAAAGAAAAGGGTAACGTGTGACATCATTCCATTGCATAAATGTCCTAATAAAATTAGAAAACATCTTCAGACATCTTTATCAAATTAAATTCCTGAAGAAATCATACTTGCATAATTCTGTTTCCTCACTCCTGTGGAGATTTCACAGCAGGGGCTAGAAGAAATATTCACTCTCAGCCCCCAAAATCTGTGAATTCATTAAAAATAAAACAGGCCCTTTAGAAGATAGAATAATGACTCAAATTGGAACATGGAGAGAAGATAAACACAAGATGATAACAAACAATTAGAATAACTGTAAAAAGCATCTCTTTAACATTTCCCTTATTTTCTTAAACTGCGTACCACCTCCAAAAATGTTTGGGTCTCCAAGTACAACAAGTATACACGATATTGAACTACTGCAGCACAGGCTCGCCCTCTGCAGGTAGGACCAGGATACGGGGAAAAGAACTAAATCTCTGTAAGATTATTAGACTATTCATCAGCCAAGGCGACGATCTCTATGAATTCACACTACAATGCATTTACTGCTTAAAATCTCATACACAAAAACAAAGTTTTTTCCACTGTGTACCAGTAGAGGGAGTAGTACCACCAGTGTTACACGTACCATCGTTTGAGAACTAAATATGAAATGTAAGGGCTCATTTTCTTATCAACCATTCCCTGATAATTATTATAATACTGGGCAGTTCCTGTATTTCCAGCGCTTTTCTGGCCAGTGTTGCTGTTTTCAGCAGATGTCACTGTTTACTGAGCTCAAGGCTCCAGTGCAACAGAGGGCAATCAGAATTCACTGCCCACTCCTTCTCTTTACCATCTCTTTGGGAATCGCTGCAGAAGATTTTCTGGCCTGGCTTGAACTCTTGTGCACTAACTGCACCCGTGATGTCGGAAGCCAGATAATCATCCCTTCATGCTGTTAAAGATTGCAGGACAATTTTCAGCTGATGCGAGTCAGCTTTGGTCTTTTGTTTCTTAATAGGAAAAAGCAAAGATGCTGTAATGAAACACACATGGAAGCAGGCATTTAGGACAGATACAGAGTGGGGGTTTGAGGGTGGGGGCTTTTTTTTTCCTCAATCACAGACTAAAATCAATACACAAACATGTTATTGATTCTGTTAAAGCAGTCCCAAATTTACCATGAGCAAATGGTAAATGTTCTGCACTTATAGTTGCACTTTCTTGTCCCGATGCCCAGTCTAAGTGATTCACGCTGCAGGTTTTTCCATCTACCTCATGGTGGACATAGGTGGCGCCAGGGAGGAGTCTGGGTGTGCTGTAGCTACAGCTGGAAAAACCACAGTACCCCCAAGATATTTCAGCTATTCATAAAGTTGTCATGTTTGAATGCATACTTGCATAACCTTGGTATGGTAAGCGTGTTAATGTTTTCCTGAATAATGAATAAGGTCTACTAAACAGAAGAGGTAAGTCATAAGGAGGCTAGGTGTCAAAAATAGCAAAATTGCTGAAATAACAGGACAAGAAAAATGAGTAAATTGTTTTTTTTTTTTCCAGTTCATTTGAACTTCCTCTCTACATTTTCACTTATCATGGAGCCCCGTCAAAAACCTCTGCTTGAAATGTGAGCGAATCATTTTAATTCTATCACGGTCCGTGCACTCCGTGCTGCTGCTTAACCATGTGTTGGTTCTAATAATATCCCTTTTACTTGACTGGGCGGTTCACAGTGAAAAATTGGCTTTATTTCCAGCCCAGTTACAGCACAAACTTGAAAACCAGAGCACTGCGAAGGGAAACTGCTCGAACCAGAGAAGCGCCAACTAATTCATCACAAGGACCAATGAGATTATCTATATATTTAAATGTTACATTTATAGCATTTAAATACTACATCGCACAATACTAAAACCAATCCCTTAGGTGTAAAAGAGCTGAATATGGTCGACATTTTTTATGTCTGAAAAAGTGTCTTAGGAAGTGGAAGAGTGGATCAGCAGCGTGAGGAGAGCAGAGTTGGACAGATGTCACAATTATGCCTAAATATCACTATGACATTTATAGTATGCTACAATACTCTAAGTAAGCTACAATATTGGAATGTATTCTAATGTGTTTTTCTATAGTTCACATGTGCCTGTATTCATCTCAGTCATAGGGCAGTGTCTTGTCCATGCACATTCAGCAGCTGTTTCCACCTTTGGCCTTTGCTAACTGAGGTTTCTCCTGACTGCATGAAATATTATTAACAATATTATTTACTGTAGAGGATTTCAAGATTTGTATTCTTGTTGTTCTGTATTGAAAAACAAGGCCGGTTAAAATGTCACACCTCGCTCTTACTTAACCACAAGTTTGGCAGATATATCATTTCATTCCCACTCCTGAAACTCTCAGAAAGTTACTTAAATGAGTTTTGGTCCTCGTTTGCGTTTTCAAAATG